TTTAGAATATCCAGTATCATCTCGCAAAAGATGAACTAAATATAACTTAAAATATTGTAATAACATATTTATGTCGTAAGGACAATTGAAATAAATTATAATTAATAAGACGCATGTCTATAGATGCGTACGTATTCATCAACATTGAGTTTATAAATACACTTCATATCATGTGTATTTAGGGGTAGATTTCTATTATGTCATGTCTTTTTTGTTCTAATTTTAGCATTATTAATTTCATTCTTGCACTTTTATGCAATTTATCGCGTATGTACATATACATATGTAGGTGATTTTACGCACGTTCATTCAAACGAATCTCGCACGCCTGCGTAATAACATTGCGCATATGATTGTTTTTTCTTTACACTGTTCGAGTATACATATATTATTGCTCATTTCACAACATTCTATACGTTATTATATTAATTAGTATTTATTTATATTAGTATACTATACAGTTATGACTACACTGTGTATTTTATGCATTTACAGAAAAAGTAGAATTGCAGGGAACATAAAGGCTACATGTAATGTCCAAAATTGAGCACAATGTAAAGTGTAATATGCGTCAGTATTTTTGAACAGTAACAGAAAGAGTCATGATTTAATTTTTTAATTTTACATTACAAGTGTTTTATTTTCCATGAAAATTCGCAGTCTAGTTATTATCAATCACGTTCGATTATGTTTCATCGATTATTCATCTGCTCTTATCGTTTTTTTTTTCTCGTTTAAGTATTTATTTCAACTACTCATCACTTCTCAGTGCAGTTGATCCTTTACACATGTATGAAAATTTCTTTTTTAGAAATAAGAGCTGTCGGCAACAATGGTCTTATTATACTATTATATTATTAATGCTCCTCATCACAGTCTTAAGATATATGCCCTAATTAAAATCTTAATTACAACCACGGTATCCTGGTGATTCGAATTTCATTTTAAAATCTATTGAAACAAGAAAATTGAGAAAGGAATAAAATGGTTCGTAAAATAAATAAAAATCCTCCGGCTTTGGCAGACCGAAAAACAGTACATAGATGTAAGTAACCTGATTCATTCACTGTGCAATCTGATACTTGTATAAACTGGCAGGTAGACTGCGTGGTAAACTGTAAATATCTGCGCTTGGATGCGCAGTCGCACAGTTGTACTATGCTCTGGTGCCAGCTGCGTACATTGTACATTACATATATTTCACGTATATTTGTATCATCCGCACATTCAATAGGTTAAATTGGCTTAAGGTTAAAAATTAGATAAAAACATTTAAACATCATTCTCCTTTTTCAACATGTGTTGTTCTTGTTAGTATAATGCATATGAAATGACTCAAGCTTATGATAATTATTACAGTGAATTTCAAAAAAACGCAGAATTACAGCAAAATCTGAAGTACAAAAAGAAATATCGAAGATTAAAAAGGATTATAAGAGACACAGTATTTGTAAGATTTATTTACTTCAAAAATCAACATTTTTTTCTTAAAGATGAATTACCACTTAAAATAAAGTAGGAATGAAAATAAACCTAATGTACTTAGATTTGATGATTACAAGAGAATTTGCATTTGCAGGAAAATGCTGCGTTATGTGATCAAGTTGCTCAAATGCAAGAACACCTTATGCTTGTCAAAGAAGAAAGACTGTTTCTTTTACGTAAATTATGTCAACAACAAGGAGACACAGATCCTCCTACAATTATAGCTCGATCTCAGTTGAACAACATTAATCCTGGTTCATTTAATGCAGAATGTTGTACACCTAAAAAAGCTGCAAAAAAGAGAGGATCAACTGATGGTTCAGGTATATATACATTTTAATACCAGCTGCATTAAAGCAATTTAAAATTGGATGACAAAATTTCAAATTAAAATCGACCCGATTTCGGCTATTTCTCGCTTTAAACTACAAATTAATTATGTTATAATTCTTAATTAGTTTATTGATTTCTTTTGTGTCAACGTTTAAAATTCCTTTGAAATGTTTTCTGTAGAAACAAAAGCTAAAGCAAAACGGTACAATAAAACAGCAAGGAAAGTGGTTCAATTAATACCATTAGATGTACATGGAAGACCCATTTTTCCTATTTCTTTGGGCGATCTGACTGTTTATTCCCTTGGCGAAGTAGTGTCAGACAGAATAGCTTATCATACTGAAGATCTTATTTATCCAGTAGGTTATTGCAGTACTAGAGTATATGCTAGTTTACGAGATGTGAGAACAAAAAGTTTATATACATGTAAGATTTTAGATGGTGGACCAAAGCCAAGGTACATAATTCTACTAATAATTAATATAATCGTAGCTATGAGTATACAATATATGCAATCAATTACTTGTAGATTTGAAATTGTATCTGATAATGATCTTGATCAACCGTTAGTTGGATCTACCCCTGATGAATGTCATTCGAAATTATTAATGGCAATTTCTCCAGCATTTGGTTCAATAGCGCCAAAAGGTGCAGAGTTTTTTGGAATTTCACATGCTACTATACAAAATCTTATACAAAGCACGCCTGGAACGCGTAAATTGGCGATGTATAAGCAACAACGTTTTGAAGTATAGACAATATATTTTAATATTTCATTTGTACCAACTTAAATGTTCGAAAATTTATATGAACTTTTTATTTATTTAGGTAAGTAAGAATCAATCAGTGGAAAGAGGAACAAGTCCAATAATGGAAGAAGAAACAGATCCAGGACTTGGATTTACTGCTTTGCACAGGCACTATTCTTTAATGAATTCATATAGGATTAAGGAGGAACCGACTGAGAGTGATCTCTTAAATCTTCAGGAACTACTCGTGTAATTTTTGTCCTATTAATAAAAAAGCCTTTATATTTGAATAAGATAATCAATTACTGCATGCTTTGATTGACACTTATTTCATTTTTATGTACATATGTATATTGATTGAATACAACAAAGAAAAGGAACTATTAACTTAATCATTGTATATTAAACATTGATTGAATACATATGTAGAGCAATTAATTTTCTTAAACCTGAATTATTTTAAAAGGCAATATGTAAAAAAGATTACAATAAATATGATAATTTATTTAGAGATTTCGTTAGATGTTTTATTTAGCATATAGCACTTCTAACTATGCTGCATTGTTACAAAATTATATATCTTAACGTCCATCTATTTATTGATCTCTATACGTAATTCGTATTTTTGTAAGAACACCTTGTGCTGTTTCTTATAAGATTAAATAAAATCACTTTATTTCAAGTCTGAATATTTTAAAATAAACATCATTATCACATATTAAGCACAAATTTTTTAAGTCTTAAAACTGACTAGTATGGTAAAACAAGTCGTAGGAGAT